ATGGACTAAAACACAAATGTCAGGTGAGAGGGTTAACATCGGTGATTTATCTACTGCAATACAGTTCCATCTTTTAAATCTTCAGATTATATCTATACCAGAACTTAAATACAAACTTTATGTTCTTTATGGAGCTGATATTTCACAGTTAACAGTCCAACCAAAGAAGCATCAAAAGTCAATGCTCTCAAACCTCATCATCTCCTAATGCTGCTTATGCAGAGAGGAAGAAATCTGATGTCATGCCTGTCTGCTCTCAGCTGTCAGGCCCGGCGATAAACATACATGCACAGACAAATGGTATTTACAGTATAATTACTGCCATGACAGTTCAGACGAAGCCCTGAGTATTACTAAACCAATGAAACAAGTAACAGTCTCTAATACAGAGACACATGCACATGGATGTCACTAGGATTGAGAGATGGGGGGGGGGGGGGGGGGGGTCCTTAGCCCCAGGAGCTTGACCTTGAATATTTTTTGTCACACCCTGCAAAAACTTTGTCAATTAATTCATTATCTGAAGAACATTTAACAAAACCTATTATTTTATCACTTTTTTTCCTTTCCTACCTTTGTGCATTTTCTCTCTTCTTTTTATAAAAAAAATAACACTTACTCAGTTCATTAGTGGGGTCTATGTTGAAGAAAGATTTTATATAAGTCCATTAAAAATGAGATATGTTATATTTCCAAATAAAGCTATTCATTTCAGTCTACTGCAATTAACAGGGGGAAATGTTGCAGTCATTTGTTTAATTTGTTTAAACATGAGTTATCCCGGGCACACATGGACAACACGGTGAAGCTAGCTATGCTAGGCAGAGCTAACAATGCCATGCAGCTAGAGACGAGGGGCACAAGCTTGCAGTGAAGAAACACAATGAAGAAGTGGATCAGAACCGGCACATTTTGTCCAAGAGAGAGATGTCAACACAGTGTATGAGCACAAGGATGACCTCCTCAGATTTTTCCAGATGATCAGAGACTCGGATGACTTTGATCCAGTCATTGAGAGAGAGGCAGGAGGCTTTGTGAGAATGCTGGAGGAAGAAGATTTCGGCTTTCTGCTGGCATTGTGTCACAAGATCATGCCACATGTGGACATGCTGTTCAACCAGCTGCAGAAGAGGAACATTGACTCTGTCTCCATCACAGGGGTCATCCAGAGCTTCACCAACAGCATGCAAAAGATCAGGTACATACTTGTTTATTTAATATTATTGTGATGAAATTCTCCAGTATGTTAGTTTCACAAACAGTAATGTGGATGTGGACCATTTATGGTCATGTTATTTTATGTGCAATTTAATGCAGTATTTTTCAACCTTGGTCCGCAAGGCAGTGTGCCAATAGTCAGACACACGTGGATTAATCCCTTTGTCCAATAATGTAAGACAGGAAATAAAAGAGCTTTAATTCAGGAAATAGTGAAGTTGTGCACAAAGCTCAGAAAGCCCAAGTTTGTTTTTAAAAAAAATAGCACAGCCCCACCAAAAATATTTTTCACCAGCCGCCACTGGGGCTACAACTTCTGGATCCACTTTATATAAATCATTTTATTGATTACCGTCTTATGAAAGATAACTTTGACGTACACGAGCGACCGGTACTAGCTGCTGTCACCTGTTGTGAGCAGCTCTCTGCTGTCTGACCCCCAAATTCCACTACCTCCGCTCTGCTGCGCTCCGCTCTGGCACGAACTCCGCAGCAAAATCGGTCCCGTTGTAGTCAATCAGAGCAATTCCACTACTGCAGCCATGCTCCGGCAGTGCGGCGCAGTGCGCCGCCCTCTGTTCCGGCGTCCGGCAAAAATAGGATCGATTCTGTTTTTGCCGGACGCCGGAGCACCTCCGCAGTCAATGGACAGGAATCACAATCGCCCAACAGGAAAAGAAGCAAGCACAACTTCCGTTATTTCACAATAAATCGATAAACAAAAAGTGTTTTTTGTTTCATATGCACAGGTTTAACAACTTTAAACAACTATCAATGGCGGCTGAACTTTAAATGCACAAAAATAAGCCAGAAATACAGTTTCTACTATCAAAGTAGTTACCCTTTGTTGATCCAAACACTGCTGATCTCTCAACACAAATGATGGGCAAATTAAACAGTTCATTTCGATGCTTCTCCCACACAACGGGTGTTTGGATCTAACTTCCGCGTTTATTGCTCGGACTGTATCGCAAGATCTCGAAAATCCCGCGCATGCTTGTTTGCGCACCTCAGGTCTCCGCACCGGAGCGGAGCCGTTGTAGAGCGGGTACCAGTAAAAATTGCGTTTGGAAGCGAGCGGCTGCGGAAGGCGGGGGCGGAGCGGAGGTAGTGGAATTTGGGGGTGAGGGTAGGCCCCGCCCACAACGCCGCGGCTGCTGCAGTGTTTTCTTTACTGTGGGAAACGGGTAATAATGGCTCTTTGATGGGAACAGGTTGCCGACCCCTGGTCTATGTCTATGCGAGGACAATAAAGTTTTGAGGTTTTATAATTACTTCTGGGGGCAGAGTTGCAATGACATGCGCACTGCGTTGTCCTAGAAGCAATTGGACAGGGATACAGGGCCAACATTACCAGTAATCAAAGATGTACCCGTTACATTTAAATCGGATGTCTGGGCTAATTTCGGTTTTGGGATCCTGGATGTGAAAGAATCACTTAACACAGTATTTGTTTACTATTTTTAAGTTCAGTAATATTCTATCTTAAAGCTGCTCTACCGAAAACATTATTTCTTATATTATTTAAGTAATTAATGGCAGCACACTTTAAAAATTATTGCTCACTATAGTGAATAGATGAATGTTCTGTTTTTCAGGGATTTCGAAATCAAAAATAATTTGAAAACTATTAGACTGCTTTTATTAAGTAATGAAAATTTTTGTGTGAAGAATCGTGATGCATTTCAGACTCAAATCGAATCATTAGGCAGATAATCAAAATCGGATCGAATTGTGAGGCAGGTAGAGATGCACACCACTAATAAATAGTCAGTGCAAAGTGCCTTGTGGATCTCATGCATATACATAAGCCGGCTGTTGCAGCGCTCCGCCAATGACGATGGCGACTGTAGATCAAGGCAGATCAATGAAGCGCTATTTCACAGAAGCAGAAGTTGAGGTACAGTACCTGTGGGTGAGGTGGAGAAATGAAAGGAAGTGCTTTTGCAAAACAAATAAGAGAAAATCCTCGGAGTGGCACAGCGTTGCTGAAGCCGTCAATGTTATGAGTTCTTCAGAGAGATCTGTGGCGGATATTAAAAAAATGGTCCAATTGGGATTTGATCCTGAGACTCCTGGGTGAAAGACACGCGTGTTAACCAGTCAGCCAAATGGAGATCTCCCTAGTCCAAGTAGCCAGGGCGCATGATCAATCGGGTAACATTGACAGGACGCACACACTGTCACAGATGCATGACATTCTTTCTCAATCTGTCCCCGTGCTGATATTCTGCATTCCGTATTCTGGCTTCAGGCAGGATGTTTCTTGCCTTGTGGATAGTTCGAAGTTGAAGTTATTCTGGGATAGTTAAAAAGGGAAGAGACGTTCTCCTGCAACCTTTCTAAACAAGTCACACCAAACTGAGGCCTGCAGCGTCTCAGATGCAGAATTTGATTTATTTTTGTATTTTCTGAGCATTGTTGTCTGATCTTGAGGTAAATTTACAAGATTATTATAATTGTTTTCCATTTGTGAATTATCTTTCAACGCCAAGTTGGAAATAGCATTTCAACAGTTCTGAGGGAGCAGAAATTGCCATCCCATGGCCTTTGCCCTTGTATAAACACACACTGGTACGCTCCAGACCAGAAAGGTTCCCAACCTCAGGCCTTCATTACCAGTCAAAGCAGGAATCTGGAGTGTGCTGTATACGATGGCACCATCTAGAGACTGACACATGTATTGCACCATAAGCTGTTCTCACCAGAGCTTAAACTTTGATTTACTATTTTTATTCACAGCTTATGCGATTTGTCAGTTTTTCTCATATATAGATTTAGATTTACTTGTCTATGAAAAACGTTGCCAACTCTGCCTCTGTCTAGGTTTGCCCTGTGACATCTGTACTTAACGCTAACGCTGAAAGACTGTCTTTTCACACAAAACCTAAAATAGCTGTTGCCGCTGTTTGGAAATAAGCACTATTTTGGTATCAAAATGTGTCTTTAAAATTCAGACGTCATATGTGGAAACATGGCACATATCAAACGGGATCAGAAAAGAACTTTTATTGGCGGTTGTGGACCCATAGCTCAGAAGTAGGTGGGCGTGGCTTGCCCTATATCTCGGTAAATGGTAAGACTATCACTTTTATGGATTTATAAAACAAATCATACAGACTTCCTGAAAGGAAAGGAAACTCCAGATAGTAGCTTTAATCGTATCAGATCAGCAGTAGCTGGATTAAATCTTACTGAAGCAGCAGGGCACATTTGAAGCCGTAATAACTAAGATGGCGTGTTACCTTGTAAAAGAGCAGGATGAAGTTGATGGCGAAGCACACGAACAGGGCAAGGAAACGGAGGTCATTACCACTGCAGGTTAGGCAAACTTCATCTATCGGCGTCTTTAAATCTCGTCTGAAGACCCTCTACTTCACTTACGCATTCGATCCCTAATTCCATAACTCCTTAGCTCATCCATTGTCCCTCCTAGACAATTCAATTTTAATTTTGTGTTTTTATATTCTGGTTTTATTTGCTTTTACTGTTAATAGTCTGTTGTTTTATTTCTTTGCTCCTTTTTACATTTTCCATTTACCTTACTATTTTAACTTGTGTTTTCTTGCTTGTTTTTTGTGCAGCGCTTTGTATGGTTGTAATGCCGTGTTGATAAATAAAGTGGTATGGTATGGTATGGTAAGTTACGAGCCAGGTAGTTCTGTAAGGAACATTTTTAGATTAACGGAACTTGCTGCTCTAGAATTAACATTTCAGTGAGACATGAATTATTCTTGAGCTACTCTGAGACACCAGAATTAGTCTCAGTGGCTCACCAGCATCTTGGTCGTGTAAACATCAAGAACAGCAAAGATGGACGACATGAAGGCAGGCAATGCCTCTTTAGGGTGACTTGATTTGGTTATAGGTTTCTCCTCGGCAACGGGCTCTTTAGCCTCCTCCTCCTTTGGTTTGTCTTCCTTCTTCTTGGTCTCTGTGCTGTTGTAGAGATATCTGTTGATTTTAAGTGCAAATTCACTGATTACTACTTCTAGATATATTTGATGTTGCTCACTCTGCCTTTTCTGGTTCACTCTCTGGGGTTTCCACAGGCTTGGCTGCAGCTTTCTGCAACACATTTTCATGAAAAAACAACATATTGGACTGGAAGAGATAAAGAATCATAAACACAACATCAGAACGAGTCAATCAGACCTTCTTTTGTTCTGTGGAGGATTCTCCCGACAGCTCATCACCCAGTCCAGGCTCCACGTGCTTTCCTCCTTCCTTTTTGGGCGCCGTCAGGATCTCCAGCATTACGTCCATTTCTGTCCCGTCCCCTGGCGGTGTCGTAGTTTTGTCCAAGCTTCCGGATGACTCTATAGCCTCCACCTTGTCTTCTCCTCCAACATCTCCATAGATGCCAAACTGAGTGGGGTCGGGCATGTTTCCGAGGATGTCGGTCACCTTCATGTTCTTGGCTCCCTCAACAAGCCCCCATCTGAACATGGAGGACCAGATGAGGTGGAAGAAACCGAAGAGGAGACTAAAGATTCCCTTAAAGAAGCCAATGAAGAGCATCCAGAAGAAGGAGAAGAAGCCCGTGATCAGCTCCCCGATGCTCAGCTTCTTAACTTTTTTGAACTGTTTACGTATGTTTTTAACAGCAAAAATCTGATGGATGTCTGAAATATTTTTCTTGACTGAGCGACAAGCAGTGGTGAAAGCTGAGGCTGACTCCAGGGCATCCTCTTCTCCCCCAGAAAGCTCCTCACGGATGCTGTGTGCTTCCTCTTCCTCCTCCTCTTCAGGTTGTTCTACAACGTCCGGTTCAGTGATCTGTGAGGTCAGCTGTATCTCAAAAATGGTGTCCTCACAGAAGTTCACAAACATCTCCATGTTTTCGCTCTCTCCGCCCTCGTTCACCACATCAAAGATGAACTGACGCTTGGATTCTTTAACCTGTGGCTTTTCCCACTGCCCACGGCTCTCACTGATCTCAAAGTCTCAAGAAACGTTCTGATCGAGAACTTTGAAAAGCTGGAGGAACAACATTTGGGCTTACAAGCGATGTTAAGCAGAGAAAAAGATGAGAAAATCAATGCAGAAAAGACGTTTCTTGACAAGTTGGAGAAATTAAAGGAGCAGCTTTCAGAAAAGAACGTTTTCATCGAAAATCTGCAAACAGATTTAGATCAAGAACGTCAGTTCAGACTTGTTAGTGTCCAGGAGCAGAAGAACGCCCAGCATAAAGTCACTGTTAATGAGAACTATAAGAAGGAAATGAAAGATCTTAAGAAAAGGAACGGTGGCCTCTCTGAGATGCTGAACAACGTTAAAACGGATCTGAAGAACAGAGACATGAAACTTCTGGAAGAGCGAAATAATTTTAAACATCAGCTCAAACAGAAGAAGCTAATCTGCGAAGATTTAGAGAAACGTTTGAACAAAGAAAACGAGCTCTGCCTGACCTGTGAGGAAAAACTCAAAAAAACTAAAGATCAAATGAGTTCAATGAACGGAAATCTCAAGAAGGAGATCAACGACCTGAAACAGAAGAACTTGGAGCTCAGTCAGATGCTGAGAAGTGGTCAGGCTGTAGAAACTAAATCAGAACAGATGTGTGAGGATCTGCAGAAGTTTAAGCAGCTGCTGCATGAAAAAATGTCCGTCTGTGAAGAACTTAGCAGCAGTCTGGACATGGAGAAGCGGCTCAGAGTTAGCTACGAGGCTCAGCTGGACTCTAACAGGGCGATAGCCTGTGAGAACTCAGATCTTAAAGAGCAGATCAAAGATCTGACTCAGAGCAACTCTGAACTCAGAGTGGTCGTGGAAAACCTGACCGCTGAGAACGCTGCTTCTCACAAGGAGTTGGTTGAGCAGCAGGAGAGCTTCAAACATCAACTCCAGGATAAATCTGTCGCATGTGACCTTTTGAAACAAGTGGATCATTTGAAAGAAAAACTGCAGAATACAAATACTTGTTTCAATCAGGAGAAGGAGAAGAGGCTTGCTGCAGAGAACCAGTGTGCGCTTTACAAGGAGCAAACTACAGAGATGGAGAACGGTTTGGTTCAGCAGCAACAAAAGCTGGTGGCTTTAGAAAAGCAGTTACAGGAGCAGAAAAACGTGAATGAAGACTTACAAGAAATCTGCTCAGATCTAAAAGGTGAGACAGACGAGTCTCGTTTTTCTGGAGTCTCGAGAGACATTCTGATTGAGAACTTTGAAAAACTGGAGGAACGACATTTGGACTTAGAAGCGATGTTTAGCAGAGAAAAAGATGAGAAAATCAGCGTAGAACAGAAGTTGACTGACAAGCTGGAGAATTTAAAGGAGCAGCTTTCAGAAAAGAACGTTTTCATCGAAAATCTGCAAACAGATTTAGATCAAGAACGTCGGTTCAGACTCGTTAGTGTCCAGGAGCAGAAGAACGCCCAGCATAAAGTCACTGTTAACGAGAACTATGAGAAGGAAATGAAAGATCTTAAGAAAAGGAACGTTGACCTCTCTGAGATGCTGAACAACGTTAAAACGGATCTGAAGAACAGAGACATGAAACTTCTGGAAGAGCGAAATGGTTTTAAAAATCAGCTCAAACAGAAAGATCTAATCTGTGAAGATTTAGAGAAACGTTTGAACAAAGAAAACGAGCTCCGCCTGACCTGTGAGGAAGAACTCAAAAAAACTAAAGATCAAATGAGTTCAATGAACGGAAATCTCAAGAAGGAGATCAACGACCTGAAACAGAAGAACTTGGAGCTCAGTCAGATGCTGAGAGGTAGTCAGGCTGTTTAAACTAAATCAGAACAGATGTGTGAGGATCTGCAGAAGTTTAAGCAGCTGCTCCATGAAAAAATGTCCGTCTGTGAAGAACTTAGCAGCAGTCTGGACATGGAGAAGCAGCTCAGAGTTAGCTACGAGGCTCAGCTGGACTCTAACAGGATGATAGTCTGTGAGAATTCAGATCTTAAAGAGCAGATCAAAGATCTGACACAGAGCAACTCCGAACTCAGAGTGGTCGTGGAAAACCTGACCTCTGAGAATGCTGCTTCTCACCAGGAGTTGGCTGAACAGCTGGAGAGAGTCAAACATCAACTTCAGGATAAATCTGTTGTCTGTGAAAACCTGGAAACAGGTTTCACCAACGAACAGAAGCTCAGACTCCAGCTGTACCAGCAACTCCAGGAAACATCTGGCCTGTGTGAGAGCCTGGAAAACCAGCTTAGAGACGAGCAGAAGATCAGACTTGGTTTGGAGACTGAGCTCGCCCAAAACAGAGACGTGGTCAGTGCAGGTCATGATGATTTGATGGCCAAACTAGAACAGATGGAGGAAAAAGAAACAAAACTCTGTAAAGTCGTCATTAACCTCCAGTTAGATCTGTTTAGAAGAAAAAAGCAGCACGAGGAAGAGTTGGGAATCCTGAAGGAACAAGTCTCTAAACTCGAGTCACTGACTACAAATCTGGAAAGTCAAAATCAGATCTTAAGACAAAAGACTGAATGTTTTAACCCAGATCAGCAAACAGAAGCGACCAGTGAGCAGAATGTGGACGCTGCAGAAGGAAACAAGAGTCTTCCTGCTGAAAACGACTCTTTAGCAGAAAGCCTCGAGTCCCAGAGAGACGCTCCACACTCAGACACAAAAAAACTGGATAAAGTTTCTGTGTGGAGGCGTTTCAAGAAATCTGTAACACCAGGATGTCTCCGTCAGCACAAAAACAGACAACCTAGCAACTAACCTTCCTCCTAACTAATCAGAAAAGGCTAATTAGAAGACATCCCATAGGGCAGCACTGTCCAGGATGAATCTGAGAAGTTAAACCAGCCACTGCCTCCCCAAAGACCCTGTTTAGATTAAAAAAAAGATAAATAAACAAGTCCCCCCAACACACACACAGAAGGAAAAAAGGGGCATCATGGTGGCACAGTGGCTAGCACTGTTGCCTCACAGAAAGGTCACTAGTTCAAATCGGATCAGCTTCCTTTCTGCGTGGAGTTAGCATGTTCTCCCCATGTTCTCTTCGGGTTTTCTCCCGGTGCTCGGGTTCCCCCCACACGCCAAAAACACACAAAAAACACGCTTAGGTCAATCGGTGACTAAATTATCCCTAGCTGTAAGTGAGTCACTGTGATGGACAAGACCTGCTTGCTCAGTAGGAGGGACTGCTGTAAAATCACTGACACAAGTCAGTGACTCGATGAGATCTGCTGGGTTTCCTTAGATAGGAAAATTATAACTAATTAGAATAATGAAGTGAACTCAGGACACGGTTTAATACGAAAGGTTCAACTGCAGTGTTTGCTTTTTGAGATGATTGCTGTTTAACTTGGTGCTACATAAATAAACTGAACTGAATAACTAATCTGAGAAAAGCAGCTACAGCTTACCCCAAAACCCTTAAAGAGAAATCAGACCTTGTCATGGACGTCACTAGGATTGAGAGATGGGGGGGGGGGGGGGGGGGTTAGCCCCAGGAGCTTGACCTTGAACATTTTTTGTCACACCCTGCAAAAACTTTGTCAATTAATTCATTATCTGAAGAACATTTTAAAAAACCTATTATTTTATCACTTTCTTTTCCTTTCCTACCTTTGTGCATTTTCTCTCTTCTTTTTATAAAAAAATAACACTTAGTTCATTAGTGGGGTCTATGTTGAAGAAAGATTTTATATAAGTCCATTAAAAATTAGATATGTTATATTTCCAAATAAAGCTATTCATTTCAGTCTACTGCACTTAACAGGGGGAAATGTTGCAGTCATTTGTTTAATTTGTTTAATTACAACTTGCTTAATTATAAATGTTACTGAAATATGACAAAGAACAAATGAATAGTTGTCAAACTTTTATTCTGCCAAATGAGTGTGCAGTTGACAGTTTTAAAATGTGATTTAATTTGATATGATATGGAATAAATGAGTATGTAATTAACAATTACAATACAAAATAACAGTATATATAAAAATTAGGGCTGGGACTTGAATAAAAATTTTAATCTAGTTAATTTGAGGCTTTGTAATTAATTAATCTAAATTAGTCGCATTTTAATCGTTCAGGAAAATGTGCTCTCAAAACAACACTTAATTAAAATTATGAAACAGAGAATTAAACATTAGACATAGTTATTACTGTAAAACTAAAGCTTTTAATAAAAAAATGCATTCTAATTAATCAAATGTCACTGTGTGATATGAAACAAGACCCAAATCAACTAAACTTTATAATTACAAATAGAAAACGCCTGCAAAGGGTTCCTGAGCCTTTAAATAGTCTCTCTGTCTAGTTGAATTACTGAAATAAATTTGACTTTGCACCAGATTCTAATTTTTCCAGATTCAAATTTTTCCACTTTCACTTGTTTGAATAACTGGGAGTTTTTATTAGCATTTCTACTCATAATGTAGTAAAAACACACATATAAATAATAATCCTTCAAAATGACAGTAGAACAGGCACAAATATGATTTAGGACTTAAATGTACTCACTTTTAACACCAGAGCAGGCGTGGCATATTCTGAGAATGATCAGGAACACTAACTGGTTCCAGTTGGATGACTGGAGGATGATGGGATGATCAAAGATCATGGCGAGGAAATAATGATGTGACGAACAGGTGAGCGGATCTTCCTTACATGGGAAGTCCTGCTGTCACGTTAAGAAGGGGGTGCTGCAGACCCGCAGATTCTCGCCTTCAGCAGTGAATCTGGTGTGATCTCCAGCCTGACCACAACTTTCTCGTTCCTCGCTGCCCCTGATGCACTTAAGCATCCGCCCCTCAGCTGATGACAGCTTCAACACACCTCGCTGCTTAATGATAGTAATGCATGTGATGTTTAGACAGAGACTCGTCTCAGAAACATAGAATTCCCCGACAGAATTGTTTAGAAAATCATCAGAAATGTTTCAGAGTGTTTCTGTTTTAACTTAAACTTCTGTTTTTAACTTTAAGACACGTTGTTTGTGATTGTTTACAGAGTAGTGAGGACACGGAGCGTTCTCCCAGCGGCAGCCAGGTGCCTCTCGTTTGTCTGACTACTTTCATAAACTACTGTTAGGGCAAAGAATTATTCTGTCTGGTGCTTTCAGCGCTGCACAGATGTTACGTAAATGTTAAAAATATAGCTTACTGCAACTTTTGTAAAGTTTCCGGTGCCACCGGGCAGCCGAAGCAGAGACGATCTCTGAAAAATGTCCACGACACGGACTCCGTTGTTGTCTGGAAGTTTGTTTTTTTCAAGTTAAGAAAAGAGGCGGACGGGTTACCTAAATCCTGCATCAGTCCAAGCAAGGCAACTTCTTTCCGTTTTTATTCCATTTTAGTAGCCATTAGCACTGTGCATTATTGTGTGCGTCAGTGATATTCTGTCTACGAGGAAGTCGTGCAATGACAAAGGTTCCGCCGTGCTCGAAATGCAAGCTGCGATTAAATGCGTGGAATTTTTTTAACGTGTCATTTTTTTCTAATTAATCATAATTAACGCGTTAAAGTCCCAGCCCTAAAAAAAACTCAAAATGATAGGGGGGCTTGTGAATATTTTAGGGGGGCTGAAGCCCCCCTAAAACGGACCTAACAACGTCAGCGCACACGCATAATCATCAACCAATCCAGTTAAAAACAGAACAACGGTAAAGATTATTGATCTTTTCTTTATTCGGACAAGTTTAAAGAAAGTTAGAACACCAATCAGTTTTCATCTTTTTTTTTTGTTTGTTTGTTTATTTGTTTGTTGTGTTGCCACTTCTTTAGGGTGTTTCTGAGGGATGTGCTGCAAAAAACTGGATGTAATTAGGTAAATGTGTAGGAGACAGTTGGATATAAAAGTGCATTTCACTAACCAACACGGTGTTGAATCTCCATGCAGTGTACACCTCCTGCAGACAGTTTATGTTTGCAGACAGATGTTCTTTAAGGATCTGTTCCCCACAGGAAATGCATGCTAAAGCGGATTGCAGTTGGCACTGGAAAATTTAGGTTGTTTTAGAAAATTATTTTTCAGTAGAAGTTCAAATGTCCCTTATTTAAATTGGAGAACTGTCAACTCAAAAACTAAAAAGTGACACAGAATATAAGTAGCACAGACAAAATGGGGGAAAATAGGGCATGCTTCGAGGAAAATGTCAGAGACAGATTACAGATTAAGCGTGCCACATCCAGCTCCCTAACTCTTCTCTCTGTCCCCTTTCTCATGGTAAATACATTCCCTTTGTCTTCTTGGAGAAAGTAGTGGGAAACAGTGAGTTGGGCTGGAGTGCAAGGAGCTGGACTGGACTGTTAATGCTTCTCATTGAATCAGGAGTCGGTTCTGCTGGTTTACCATTTGAATAACTGGGAAGCTTGGGAAGGTGGTGAGCTCTGGACACAAAGAGGATGTTTCACAGTCCAAATTCTCTTCGGTTCACATCTACATGTCTAAATATTTGCTTCTAGGAGGACTAAGTGCTGTATGTCAGTGTAAAGACATCAAACGGTTCAAAAACAGACATAATTTGTCATTTGTATTTAACTGTGAATGCATAGAATTGATGATTTAGTGTTTTTCTTAAAATTTCTGCTAAAAATGTGATATTTAAGCTAAATGTTTATATGAGCAAAAACAAAACCATGTACAAGTTAAAGCTCAACTAGAAAATCTGCTAAACAAGCCAGCTTTTAAACACAAGCATGGTCATGGAACTCTCAGCCCTCCCATCGGCCACGTCCGCCAGAAGCGGAAACCTGTGTTGCCAGAGGAAACAGGATAGCGCTAAACACCAGTCACCATTTCTAGGTCCAAACATCTTCTGTTGTCCATGACTTCAAATGGTGTTTTTGTTTTTGGGACTCTGGTAGCTTGTGTTAAAGTTGAGGTGGTAACAGCTGACTGTTTCTCCTCCTCTGAGAAACCAGAGAATCTCTCACCCCAGTGTGTTCTGTTGCTAAATGTGCAAGTGTGTAATGAATGGAGGATGCAGGGAAGTGTGGTGGTTCAGTGAGACAGACATCCAGATGGTCCAATCGTTGCTTTCAGACCGAGAAATGTTATTGGCTGTTGCAAATCAGCTCTTGATTGTGTGTGTGCTCTTACACATGTGTGTATGTGGAGATGACCAATTAGGTGTTAATAAAAGGAAGACATACCATGATGCTCTGGTCACGTTTGTGTAGCGACATGAATGGCCTCATTTGTGACCCAAAGGTCACACTTCCTCAGCTGGGTCAAGCTGTCCTGGCTGTACTTCTATTTACAGATTATCCATCACAGGAGACACAAAGTCTGCTGTAAACCATCTTTAATCTGACTGCCTTTATCTGACTGCTGTTCCATCCACAAGACGAAGGACACTTCAAGATTTAAAAGAATAATTTTTGATAAACTCTTTTCAATGTCTATTACAATGTTCATAAACAATCATCAAGGTTCATTATAAATGTATTTAATTACTGAAATGAATTCTTATTCTTTGGTTAATAATTATTATGATTTATGATAATCAGTAATGTTTAACAGTAAAGAAGGTCCTGTGCACTTATACACACCATGCAGGACACAGAAATCAGGTTAAAGGTAACTGCATTCACATGTCCTTGTTCCATAACACAAAAGCTTTCTATCTCTGAGAGGGCATGTTCCGAGGTATGTTAAAACCAAAACTCCTCATTTTCAAGTTCAATTCTTGAGCTCACCAAAATCTCTCTGTGGCACGAGAGAGTCCAGGGTGTGGTGTATTGTACTGTAATGTACATGCTGTTATGACGGTGATCACTAGGGGGGCACTAGTGTCACGTGTTACTGTTGAGGTTAAAGAGTTGAGGCTGGAAGTAAAAGTTCGCTGGACCTAAACAGCTGTGTCTCAGTGTTTAATTACCTAGTAGAAAACCTACAGAAGACCTAAGGAGACCAGGTAACACAACATGGTGTCAGAAGTTTGGCTGCCAAGAAAACAGAGACAATGGTTTGAGTAAGCTAGGTGAATTAGCATTGGGGCTAACGTCTGCTACCAAGAAGATAAAATGGAGCAGTTTAGGCCGCCGTCTCCACTCAGTCTCGTCGGCAATCTATCTGAGGCATGGCGCAGGTGGGAACAGAGGTTCCAGCTCTACATGATAGCTACTGGAGCATCAGAAAAGGAGGAAGAGGTAAAAATAGCCATTCTTCTTCACACTATCGGCGAGGAGGCCTTAGAAGTGTACAACACACTCAACATTACCCCAGCCGGAGATGCACTCACAGTGGAGGAGGTCCTGAAAGCATTCAAAACATACTGTAGCCCGCAGAAGAATGTGGTTTTTGAACGTCATCAAT